CCTGACAGCGGTCAAGTCGCGGACATCCCAGAACTTGACTCGGCCCGACTTGTCCAACGTGACCATCAGTGTGTCATCCTGACTGAAAGTAAAATCCTTCCCGGCCTTGCCAGTGTTGATCTTAAGGGAACATTGCTGAAAGAGTCTCTCGGTGTCGACAACGCGATCATGGGCGTTCTTGAAAAGATTGTTCTCGAAAATGAATGAGGGCCAAATGATATTGATGGATTTTCCGCGGCCAACGGCAAAATAATCGGGATGCATAGAAGAAGGACGAGCTCTCGTCTTCAAAACTCCGCCGGGGGCATCGCCACCCTCTTGTGACGACAGAGGGGGCAGAGCAAAACCGTATTGCTCCGGATGAGCGTCCTCCAGATGATCCCGGTCACCGTTTTTGAGCTGGACCCAGTAAACCGTGCCGCTCACGCCTGTGCCAATGATGGCCTCCTTGGGGTGCTGGTTCGAGGCAGACGACGAGATGGCGACATTAAAGATTCTATCCTTAGTGTCCGTGAAGAGCTTAGCGTCCTTACCGTCGTCCTGACGAATCACCCGGAGGCCACCAGCCTTGGACATTCCATAGGCCATGTAGCTCTCTGATGCCGAGACAAGGTTCCGATCGATTTGGTCGAAGTCCTTCTTGAGCCTAGCAATGTCCAGAATCGCTTCTTCGCGGAAAACAGGGCGAACTTCATCCGTCTCCTGGACACTAATAGTGATCCAGGGTTTCAAGGGGAAATTGTACACCTTGGTAGGTGCCGCTGTCTCCTCAATCACGACAATTTCATCGGCTTCGGCACTTTCCCAACTATCCGCAACCGGGCCCTGACCGGCTTGAGCTGCCTTATCCACAATGCCTCTTACTTCCTTTGCCACTTCGGCATCGAGAGCAGACTCGAGGACATCCTTGTTCTCGTCTTTCTCAAGCTGTTTCTGTATGGCCTGAGCGGCAACCTGGGCAGATCTGGCAAATTCATCGTCGGTCTCGGCACTCATCATCTGCTCGAGGTCTTGGGTAATTTCAGCCTGAGCGCTCTGTCCCTCAGCACGAGCCAGCGCCTCTTGGGCCTCTCTGTCGGCCTGCTCAGCAAGCCCGACAACGGCTTCAGCAACACTCTCCTTCTTCCTTTCACCTTCCACATGGTCTTGACCAAGTTCAACCTTGGCCTCCGAGCCTGGGGAAACGGTGATGATATTGGGAGCGACTCGAGGCGCACCCGTAGTAAACCCATGAGGAGACGATACATGTTCCAGCTTCCGTCTCGTATGGTCGGGGCTGCCTGTGGAGCTATGGTCGCTTAAAGGCCGCTTGGGATCATTCAGATCAGGCTTCCGCAGAATTTGCATAGCAGATGCTGCCGGGGGGCGACTGACATTGGGATCCATGGCAGAACCAGCAGACGACTTGGGAGTCCTCTGGCTGGGGGAGCTGGCCAACTGATCGTCATTCTGACTAGAAAATATTCCCGACCGAGCGGCGGATGCAGGTTGCGAATGCTGCGACTGTGGAGTCGAGCTGAACTTGGGGGGCGTAGATTCCAGACCTTGAGGCTCGAAATCAAACTGGGATCGCGACGGCACGGTTTCGAGGAGGGTCATATCAGCAGGTTTGCGGGCTTCCTTCGAATCATCCTCAGCCGGGGGAGGTGTGAGAAAACTGGATTCGACAATCTCGCTCGTATCATTCTGGCTTGGCTTTGGCTTGCTCAGTAGATTCAGCAGATATTGCTGAGTGTTGGAGGGGGGAGCGGGCTGATTCCAAGACGAAGAGGAAGCAGGCGCGGCTTCGGACTTGGGCTGTTCAGGGTGCGTCCCACGCATCAAAGCAGCAAGAAACCCACTAGGATCAGAACCACTCGGGGCAGGCGCGTGAATCATAGGAGGCGGAATGTTGTAGCTTGGCTGGGCTTCCTGGGAAAACTGCGGCTGGTTTTGGTTGGAGGAAGAGCCTTGTCCTAACTTGAGAAGATTCAACAATTGAGCGGTCCGATTCTCGCCCGCACCTGCAGGAGGGACGCCGCGGCCGGCACCAATAGGCTGCATCAGTCCAGATGGGAACTGAGAGTGATTGAATGCGTGAATAGGTGGCGTCGGAGCTTCAGGAAGGAACGCGGCGGAGTCCAAGGGGTTCTGGAAGCTAACGTTCAAACCAGGGGAGTCGGGCCCATAATAGGGCTGGCCGCCCTGGGGGATGTTGTGGACGTGACCGTGGCCGTGGTGTCCGTGGTATGCAAGTTGACCATACTGGTTCGAGCCATTAGGTCCAGCAGCCGGATTAGGGCTGGTGGAGGACTGTTGGCGACGAAGCTGAGCCAAAAGCAACTGAGACGCGGCAGCGCGGTCGGATTCGCCATCGCCCGAAGCATTGCCACCGGGCATGCTGAAGTTGTTGGGCATCATGAGAAACGGCCGTTTCTGGCTATCGACACAAGTTGGCATCCAGACAACAACAAACACGCAAAGGTGGTGTTTCGATTTTCTACCGCAAGCCGCCTTCCGGCAGTGGCAGTGGCAGAGAAATAGAAGGCTCGAGACGTCAAAGGCGTTGAAGCGATGTCACTGATGACGGACAGTGACGGCGACGCAGGGGGGGAGGGCACCGTGAGCGGCGGCTGGGGTTGTGCGATGGGCGGCGGCGCTCGTGCAGTAACCAAGTGTCGGTTGTGGTAGGCTCTGTTGGCTTTGGGGTTGTCGAATTACCTAAACCGAACGTGACGAAGGAGGGGTTTGTGACTGGGTTGGTCGAAGTTGGTGGGAGGAGGGGACCTCAGCTCGAGCTGGGACTCTTTTGGAATCAATGACGCTGTTTTGAAAGGCGAGGGTTAGACAAGTGACGGGGGACCGAAGAAGCTACACCAAGCTCGGTCCCGGCTCAGAGCTGAGGCTCAGGGTTAGCCCACGACACCTGCCACCATCTGCAGCGTGTTTCCGCGGGGCGGCCAAAAGGAGAGCGCGAGCGCAAAAATACAGCGATGCGGGGGTCCACTCACGTATCAAATTAGCTGCTTGGTTTCTCAGCGCCAGTCTGCTGCAAAGGTCAAAAGTCGCACGCGCAAAGAACCTGACGATGGCCAGCGTGATGCATTCGCGCGAGAAGTTGACGATGTTGGGTGAGGAAGAAAGAGAGGGAGAGAGAGGTGAGAAGAGGGCGAGAGGGTCCGTCGGGAATTGATGGGCCCGTTCGTTCTTGTTTGGTAGGTTCCGTTTGGCGGGTTGGCGGGGGAGAGAAGGAGGAGAGAAAAATGGAAGCTTGCAGCCACTGCAGTTGAAAAAAAGACCCAGAGCCTCGAAAATGACGGAACCTGAGGAAGCTGCAGAGATTGGCCCAGCCTCAGGCCCTCAGATTGGTTGGATTTGCACCCGTCCGTTTGCCAGAACTGGAACACGCATTCACCACCTTCTTAAGTTACTGCTGCTTGACTTTCAGTTCTACCCATTTTTTGGGGAGGACTTTTTGATTTCCGCCGGTTTGCTTCTGTTTGCCCTTCTAGGATCACGTCTTTCAACCTGGGTCAGACTTACATACACAAGACCCGACCTTGACAGGAGTGACATGGACCGTTGCGAGGCCTGATGTCCGACGCTTCTCAAGGCTGGGACAGGTTGACGACGATTCGCTGCTATCCCATTGGGCCTCCTGCCGTGAGCATGGTGTTCAGCCAATCATGGCCAATGTGGTCCGTGCCCCTCTCTGCTGTCAACACATGTCCACGTAGCCAACGCCCGCCTTCACATCGACGGTGGTCGCAGTCGACGTTGAGCATTGGATGTTCCGACTCTGACCTGCACATGCACCTCAACACCTGGCGCGGGGAAGACATGTGCATCACGACGGCATCCAAGTAGATTCCGTCTCTGCTTCTGCACTTCGGATCTGTCGTGGGTGTGACATGATAATGCCGCATTTGCCAGCCTATGAGGTTGTTGGTGATATAAAAGTCGAACTCTGACTGCAGTCAACGACAACAGAACAGGGCTGACTGACTACGAGATGGATCACACCGGTTGAACGGTACCTAGCGTCTCATGGCACGCTGGCATATGACATGCCCTGAAGTGAGAATGAATGAGTGGCTTGAACCTTTGGCTCATTGTCGATGCTACCTCACCGGATGTGGCTGGCAATGCCTATCCCACTGCTCAGGACATTTTCACGTGCTGGGTATGGAGGCTTATATGAGACGGAACAATATGTCGGAGCACATGAGTTATCTCTACTCTAATCTTCTCAAGCTCAACTGCTTCGCGATGAAGGCGGCCAAGATGGAACGGTCAATCGACACTCAACCACGTGGCTTATGTAAGCAAGAAGGGATCTCAAGCCCGACCCGGACCCTGGCGTCGTGGGATTTGCAACGCCCCACCGAACGGTCCCCGGCCCCCAGCGTCATTCCCGCTTTCCGACCTGAGCAATTGCGCAAGTGACCGTAGTTGCAAGTCCAGCGGATTGTCCCGTCCGCCGCGTCAAGGCTCCTTTGACACTCGGAGGACCCTGAAAACTAAACCAAAAAATAATAAAAAAAAAAACCCCCCCAAAAAATCAAAAGATTGGACATTATCCTTCTTTCGCATCTTCGCCCTTCAACGCTTTGCCTGTCGCCGTGCAACTACGTTGTTAATAGAGCTTCCGCGTTCTTTATCCGCCAGTCCCCCGAGCCTCTTGCTTGCTTTGCGCCTGGGAAATCGGATTTTAGACGGGACGGAATCGCCAACTCTTCCACTCGTTGACGAGGAACAAGCAAACTCGGCACCTCCTTGAGGTCCCACGAACCAGCACGCCACGTTGAATTCGGGAAGAGTGTGCAACACCGCATATTACTCGCTCGGGTGTGCTCAAGAACATAATCCTCCTTTCCGTCGATGTACATAGCATCTCCAATCTCGGCCTCGAATCATACCACCGTGTGCACACGCTCGTTCACCTCGAGTCCGATTCCGAGATCCCCGGCGGTTTAGCAATCCCACATACGCTAGTACGGCGAACAACCCGAGCGGCGCCCCTTGCTCTCAGTCGCGCCGTCCGTCTCTCGGGTGATTCTAGCCAGGAAGGACACGTTCATTCGTTTCCCCACATTCGGACAGTAACACCACCCGTCCAGTTGCCTTTGTGCAACAACCCAATAAGCAGAAAATGTTCTGTCTTCGGAGGTTCGTGAAAGTCTGCTGTCCCAAGCCAGGCGCAAAGCTTCATAGGCCGGGGAATCTTGGGAAAGAGAAAGCTAACCATGATTGTAAACCTACTACTGTAGTTGGCTCCCACTGCTCTTCATACCGACCAATGCGTCGCCCGCCTTCATTCTCGTCTTCTTCATCTGCACATACTTCCTCAACCGACCATGCATCTACTGCTCCTTTCTGCTCGTCATTCTCTTCCTGACGTCGTGTAACTGGTCCGACCGGTGCTTCTTCGATGTCAGCAGCAACTGGTTCCAACCCAAGGAGCCAAACTCGACTACGACACATATCTACGCCCCTACGAATAACGGCACCGGTACCACAGCCATGGCGGAAAGGCCCAACAGTACGGCGGCGTTGGCTCTCGACATGTTCAACACAACGGTCGGCACGCTGGCGACGGCCGCGATGGACAAGGCGGCCAGGACGAGGGTGGAGTGGACGGGATTGGGACTGGAGTGGTTGAGGAGTTTGCTGGGGAGGAGGGAGTGGCGGATCGACTGCTTGGACCTCTATATCAGACTATAGGATGATCTCACGGACGTTAGGGGGGACAAACAGGAGTGGATAATTGGATCCCATATCCATCGCAATCTGTGACTGCTTCTTCTTGTATGCTCGCCATCCTCCGTTGTTCGCACATCGCATTGGGTCTTTTTACGTTTTGGACTCTTTTTGGGGTTTTGCATCCCCAAACATCAGTGGCCACTGCATCTAGAAATTGTGCCTCAGTAGCTGAAAGGTGTGCCACCACTCTTACCTTTGCGGTGGTAATAATTGCCAAAGGAGCGCTTCTCTTTCGCGTTGTGCTGCACGTTCGGTAGCGAGACAGTTTTGTGAGTTGTAGATGTTACGTATTAGGGTCCGGAGTGTATACAACGGACATGTTTCATTGTTATTAGCGGAGTATGACTTTTGCCAGCAATGAATAGGCTGATTATCTTGCGGAGGACATCCAAATACCCATAGCGTAGATATTACCATGAGATATGCTTACATCGCATGTTCACAGTTGACATTGATACAACACGAGGCAACGACATCCTGATATCCGCCAGACATCAATGTACTCGCACTCCTCTCGCCCCTTGAGCGAACAGAGTCCCCCCCTCCTCCTCCTCCCCCCCCCCCCCCCCCCAAAAAAAAACAGGAAAAAAAACAGGAAAAAAAAGAGGAAGAAGAAAAAGCCCGACTGCAGTCACAGTTTGACGATAATACTCAAAAAGCCCCAAACATAACAAGGTTGCCAACTATCTTATGTGGCAACATCAAACCTGAAGTGGCTTTACAACCAGAGCTAAAGCTCGTAAGTCCGGAAGGACAGCATCACCCAGTAGACAGGACACTTAGAATACAACACTTCTACAGTACTTCAAGACTGGGCCAATTAAGAGCTCATAGGAAGTCACTCGAAGCATCAAGCAAGTCATCTATACGAGTAGACGAAGGAGAGGCAAGGCGAACCGTCCTCGTCGGGGCCTATATGCCTTCAACCCTTTGAATGGGATTGTTGTCATATGACGGCAATGGCAAGGCAAACAGAAACAGGTAACTGGAACAAATAGTTTCGGATTGTCTTGGTTCTGAATCCAAAGATCTGATCAAGCTCTAACTGTACAACGAAACGAAATGGTCTATATATTTGTGAGTGCCCCCTTCGTCCTGTATCTTGACCGACATCATGCACACAGAGGAACATGCGGTGACAGAGGATTGAGTAATGATAGGATTCGGTTCTCTCTCTAGTTCCTCTCTTTACTCCTCTCTTTACTCCTCTCTTTACTCCTCTCTTTACTCCTCTCTTCAATGCCCAAGGAGGGTGCAAGCGGTAAAACCGTCCCGAGGAAACCTTGAGTCGAATTCCTCAATCCTTTGTCTCTTAGCAATTACACCTGGGAAGTTGCTGCGCCTGTAATGTGGGTCAAGAAAATATTGCCTAGGGAATCACTCGGTGGATGCATCACGCAGGAGCGTTCAAGGTATATAACGATGCTTTGGAATGTGTTGCTGATGACGACCCGTATTGGAGTCAGAGTGCATAAGTAGGGACAGACTAGGCAGGGCGGAAGTGTCCCGTTCAGGCTCCCTTAGTCAAACATGTTAACCATATAGATACGCCTTGTAACTCGAAAGGACTTTATACAAGCCTTAATTAACGCTCAGTTCGATCAGAATACATAGCAGAATTCCGAGATCGACGAGATATCCTGGAAATGACCTATTCACTGCGGGGAGCAGAAAACTACTTGACCAACAACTAAGGGGAATTGATACCATCCGGCATCAGAAAGGATGGGGGGGGGGATATGAAACAAAAAGTCACCAAAAAGTTGTCAGAGCACAAGAACCCTCCAGGACCAGAACAAACAAACAATCGTTTTTATCACTCGGATACCGGGAGTCGAACCCGGGGCTGTTGAGAAAGCAGTCACTCTTTACATAGAAAGAAGTGAGAGTCAACGATGTTACCGCTACACCATACCCGATCCATGTATGGAGAGCTTCTTTGCTCTGTATGTTGAAGGAAAGGTTGGGGCTGCTTGAATTATGAAGTTGTTCCTCGTTTCTATGTGTGAGTCTTTGGGGGTTGAGGAAAGGTCCCACCACTGAACCGCACCACAACCCCCAAGTGACCCTTCACATGTGTTTTAGTGTCTCGAATGTAGTGGATTTAGGGCTGCGACTGTTGCTGTGGACGTAGACGGCATGACCCGGAAGAGTGGCATGAGTGGCACGAGGGGACTACACTAAAGATATTCTGCATGACTCGAGGTGTTGAAGAAGAGCCTCACTTACCGAGCAGGGGTAATGATTGTACCTGGACCCAGGTGGACGAGACCCACAAGTTGGTGTCAAGCGACGGAGTGTTTCTTGTTGCAGTCTCTGGTACTGTAGTTTTGTTGTAAGTGGAAGTCGTGCAAATGATTACCGCACGAGTCAAACTTTAAGGCTATCGTCAACTCGCGCTGAAAGCTGACCTCGCCGGTCTTGCGACGTTTGTGGTCAGTCAAGTGAATGACAGCTCACCTCATTTCCCATATGTCACTTCAAAAAGGACATTTCTGCGCTTACCCTTGCTACATACATTCGCGATTCGAATCATCTCATGTAAATCATCATCACCGCAACTTCTCATCACCATGCAGTTATCAGACGGCTGTACGTAGCCTTATCCAGATCAACGTAGCCGCATCAGCCCAGAATGTGCCCATAATGACGGCGTTGACAGCACCCTCGTCGCTCGCCGTGTAACACAAAAAGTCCCTTTGTGCATCATCGGCTGGCTATTATTATCCCACCCTCGCTTGTTATAAAACTCGTCATTTACCCCTCACTTACGGGCCCTCGAATAGAATTGATCTAGACCTGTGAGAATCAATCAGTCAGCCGCGCGGCATCGAGATGTAACTCTGATAGAGGAGGAGGGGTTGTAGTGGCTATCGGAAAGGCTTACACAGTAATTCAGTCCTCGAATTTCCCACCTCTCCGCGTAGCGCGGGGCAAGGAACGGCACGGAAGCTTTTTGAGAAGGGGGGGAGAGAGGGAGGACGCGGGGAGACGGGGTCAGGGCCGAACGGTTTCCTCCTTCGAACTTTGTGACTCCTCGTATCGCTATCATAGAGGTAACTATTGTGAAGTACGATGAAGGTGTGATTATTCTTCTGGAGTGTGACAATACTGCAGTGTTATGTCGTGCTTCCGTAGACGCCTTACGTAGTGTAGCGATTGTGTGCGACACCTTGCCAAAGCCACACAGGGGCATTGGGATGCAATCGAATGCGAGAGGTGTTGTTTATTCGTGGTGAAAAACACAGTTTAGAACACCCTCAAGGAAGGGGGTCTATCGAAACCTCATCAAGTGTTCAACTTTGGACATCTTGGCATTCAACTGTCCCATTCCGTTTGATCCGAGATGGGACTTGAGGTTATTCGCAACTCCGGAGCGATGGAAACTAACTAGTAGTCCCCGATGAGAAGTCCGAAGCAAGTCCAACGTGCGGCCCGGCCGATCCTAATCCGTCAGCCAAACTCGTCCGAATCGCATGCAGTTGACCTGTCCGAATGCCCTCTTAGGGTTTTTTTTTTTTTTCCTTTTTTTTTTGTGGATTGGCACTTCCATAGCAGTGCTCGTCCGAAATCCTTCCGGTATAAGATCGAGAATTCTCCAAGCTTTGCCGTTGGGAGAGAGGAAACAGTGATGTGCGTCGTTACTTCCCTGTGAAGACTAGTGCATTGTACACGATTGATTTGGCAAAGCAGAGGCCGGGTCTTGAGCGGGATACTGCCCCTGTGCACCGTGAACAGTTCCCTTCAGTTGCCTTCCTGGAAGCGGCTGAGACAGGGGCACGCTGGTTGCTGCCCACAGGAGCCAGAAATCGTAAGCTCCGCTATGACGTCGCTAGTCCCGTGCATGCAGGAGTTCGCACGACTTTAACACAGTGCCGGGCAGGGTAGGGGGGGGGGGTCTGAGGGGTCCACCGGACACTGCAGTGAACCGGGTACTTACGTCGTAGCGGTAGGTTGTACATTCCGATATCAAGCACCAACTTCAACACCGCATGTTATCTCCAACTTATGTGCGCTCCAGAATCGCAAAGTAGTCACGGAAGTCTACGAGTTCCCGGGTTTTTTTTTTCACATCTGGTTTCTGGTGAAATGTTGCAGAAGCTTGAATCACGCGGCTTGTATGAAGTGCCTTCTCAACATCAGAGTCACTCATGTCTTGTTTCCATGTAAGGGATCGTCGTCCGACACCCCCCTTTGCAACGAAATCTCCGGACAATCTGTCGCAAATCTCGACAAACCTGGCGGTGACTGCTGCAGATGAGACGGTCTCCGGGGATCTAGAACGTCTTAGCTCTGTCCCAAAATCAAGGTTACGATTGATGAAGGTGGACAATTCTGGGCATTCTGGGCACAGGCCCGTCCCAACCATCCTCCTTGGAGGTGTGTTTCCTGGGTCGGATCCCTAGAGTTACGGGTTGACCCACGCTGTCGACGACTCGGAACATACAACTTCCCAGCGCGTCCCAACGGGCTGCTAGCTTGACTCAACATGCGGAAATGGCGCCATTCCGCCCCCCATGTTGCCGCTGAAAGCCGTGAGCGTTTAGCATCCCAGATTTTACTGTGCCCTCCCGTTCTGGATACTTGTAGGCTGTACACTAGTGTAAATTGGCCCTGTGATTGCTCGGCCATCCTGAGACATCCTGGGCTGAGCACACCTTACCACCATCCACATGTTGCGAACACCATCTGGATGGACGGGTGGCCTAGTACGGAACAGCTGAGGAGGGACAGGACCCCTAAAAATCCAAAAATGGTCCCCATGGAACGGGAATTCAGGCCTGGCTCTGCCCCGAATGCACCGGCTCGTACTTCTTGTGCTTCTATTGCCGTCGAGCTATCGATGCCAATTCCACTTTCAGGCAAGTCGCCTTGGCATCCCCTCCGAACTCCAGACACAGGATCGATGTTTTTGAATGAGCTGCGCGGATATCTCCAGTTTTCCAGAACTAGATCGCATTTTGTCCATGTGCCAGAGGCCGGGGTCGGCGGTTCAACTGAGATGTCTTGGCTTGCTCCACCTTCAGACATCTCGTGATCGAAAAGGATAACAAGAGGGATCCATTTGCCGGAACCGATGTTGGTTCGGGGCAGCAGACATGCCACGCCACAGGATGAAGCTGTCGATGACAGTCAACGGCGGCAGCGTGGTAACGACAACCACTGTGAGAAGCCCAACAGGCGTACAGTCAGGATCAAGAACTACAGCGAACCTGGCAAAACAGGACATCAGTCGCATCTCGATAAGCACATTGTAGACCATGGATTGGTCTCGGTGTATGTAGCGTGCCTGACATGCAACTGCTGGAACTGTCAGATGGTGCTTCGGTTGCGCGATCGTGGGAAGGAACATGGGAACGGGTTTCCTCGTGGGCAGGAGGGCAGGACCCTGAGGTGATCTGCCTGCTTTTCAAGCAAGGCACGATCCCCAATGCCCCTCCATTTCCAATGCCTTACACTACTACGAAAAGCATTTCATCTGCCTCTGTGGAAAGCTTGCAGTGTGCGAGTGCCGCGCTAGTCAAAGCGGACCAAGCAGTGCATGCCACCTCAACGGGTTCGCTGCCCCACGACACACCAAAGCCATCAAGGTTTGGTGATCATTCACACCCTGATCTCTCCTGAAACAGCCTTGGGCGGACATAGGTGTGTATTGGTATGATAGTACCAAACAACGGAGCCAATGCTCCATCCAGACTCGACCGTCTTCCATGAGGTCAACGAACCCGAGGCCACCGTCTCCCGTTGGGCTTTCCGATGACCAGATCTTGCTGTCGACAACAAGAGAGAATTGTATAGAAGCAGTGGGAGAGTTAGCTCGGTGGAGCGGATGCGACTTTTTGCTTTCTCGAGTCCAAGTTTTTGGACGTTTCGGTTGTAGCGATGAACCTCGTGGGAAATTTAGTGTGTATGTCCATTTTGGCTTGGGAAGGGAGCCGAGTTTGGGACAATATGCAATGGATGATTTTAGATTTCTTAAGTGATGATTGACGTTTCTCGTAAAGGGCTTTAGACTTTCAGCAACCACGTCGCCAAATCGCGGCCGTCAGTTTGTCCCATCCTTTCGGTCTGCCATGATTGAATTTGGATGTGCTCGATGCGGTCATAGTCAGGCCAGAATCCCTCACGTTGGCACCGCTAGCAACCCTCAGAGCGCCTCTCGGGGTGGGTATACAGAGTCATCTTCCACATGTAACTTTTATCTTCAGATGTTCCTGACCACCAGTTGATTTGGGGATTTGCAATCCGAGTTCCAAATGGAGCAATGACGTTGTCATCCCCGCCAGTCACTTGTCGACATTCCGCAGCAGCAGCGGGCGACAGAAGACTTGCGCGGCTGCACGGCGGAGCTTGCCCATAAACGGGAGCAAGGTGCAGGTACAGCACTAGAGGTAACTGCAGTCCACTGCATCCTGTTGCGTTGGAACACTGTGCCAAGTTCTGTTGGTCGGGCAACCCACTACCTAGGTAGGTAGGTAGAGGTACCTAAGGTAAGTAGCCCAGGGTAGCTTAGTTCTGTTCTTCTCTATCGGTAGCAGGTACCTCTTGGTAACCACCATCGTCCCTGTCATCGTGTCAATGCCCTGCTACCATCTACGCACCTACAGGTAGACACCTTCAACTCTGTCCTGTCAAGCAGTTGATAGTGAAACCTATGAAAGACGAAGGAAGAGGCTGAAAGGAAAGAGAAGTCGCGTATTTCTCAGATCAATCTTACGTTGCTCATTCAAACTTCAGTCACAATGTCAATGAGAAGGGATAAACATTGATGTTTTTGGAAGTCGGGTTTCCCTGAAACTCACCTCCAGGTAGGCTTCTCCCGCGTTGTTCCTGTTGGCCAGATTGGAGACACCCATTATCACGACTCGACGACCCAAAGACCCATCTAGAACACCTCTTGACAAGATTTTCAGGCACCACCTTTGACCGATTTTCTTTCTTGATTATTGCTTGACAACTAATATTTCGGAGGTCGGCGGTCCAATCTACAAGATCCTCTCCAGCGAGTCACCGTGCTTAGTAACAACAAAAATATAAGCGCTACATGGTTGAATCAGAAGTGGGAGTTGCACCTATGAGACACATTCAGATACCAGGCCAGGCAGTTCGATCAAACACTGATACCGACACCTCTGCCGCAACCCTGGGCCAGTACTATCACGGTCGGACTGCAAGCTTCGAAAGATATCTGGGGCGCTGCTACCACATATGACGACAAGTGACGCGAATGAAGATTGACCCTGGCGTATCTGTGTGTATGTTGGATTCCTCTAACTGGCACCTGTTGAATTAGAGGGTCCCCTTTTTTTCTCCAATGGATGCGATTTCGAACCACAGAATGGACATCCGATCACCGGCTTAGGGGCGATAAAACCACAAAATGGCCTCATCGCTTCAACACGCATACGGCGCATATACGTGATGCGTGCACCGGTATCCGTGGCCGAGTGCCGTACAGACAGATGACAGAGACGGCATTCCGCTTTCGTCCGGACTACCTAGAAACATATCGGACGAAGGAACTGCCCTTCCCTGCAGTGTTCTACTATAGTCCACTGAAGTTGAAAGCCAGACAAGCACAATCAAGCCCTGCGTGCGTAAAAAATAGAGAGGCAGTAAACACAAAAATTGGACAAAGACCAAAACATGAGCATGGAGCCGGTAAAGGCGAGGCTTACTCTAAGGAAATTCGCCTCGACACCACTTTATCAAAAAAGACATCTCATCACTGGTGAGTGGGCGACCCATAGATGAGGTCAGCAAAGCGACGTCAACGATGACAAAACGCGGATGCCGGTTGTCGGATGGGGAAACTGCACCAGCGCAGATCATTGCTTCCATCCACTTTGACATCAAACCTGTGCAGACATTGATTGACCCCTTGTTTCCCGGCATCCTCTCCTTTGCGCTTCTGCCCCGGTCTACTATGTACATCCCGAGTTGACGTTTCTCTGATCTTCCTTTTCCAAACCCCAACCGTCCCCTGGCTTCGGCGTTTGGCGTACAATTACACACCCTCGTAGTTGATTTTGACCATTTCCATTGTTGTCGCACTGGACTGGCCGAACTGCGATTGCTTCACGTGATACCTGCTCAAGCCTTGAAAGAGGTATAGAGATATTACTGTGTACTGTGTACGTAATCTCAAGGCGAAGAGAAAAAGGCCTACCAAACAAAATTGTGCAAGTTTCCTCGGTTGCCAAGAAGCCGAACCTGATCGTCATGTCAGATTTCCAACAGCGATCACCCCGACGCGACATCAATGGAACAGACCCCGCCAGCCGCCAGTGGCCACCACTTTATACTGTGCGAGTCTACTGCGTACTCTGTTAGTACATAGGACGTGTGTACATTGCGAAAGAGCAGAAACAAAGTGGGAGGCACGCCCGACAAGTGTATACTACTGCTGCAATTAGTCGCAACAAAAGCCAAAAGTCCGACAGTTGTGTCGGTCCAATCCCGACATTCGACTTACCCAGAACAATTTTCCGAGGCTATCTACACGGAACCTAGCCTCATTCAGCTTCGGTCTGGACGCCGTAACAGCGCCTCGGAAGAGACCCAGATACTAGATCTGAGCCGTACGGAAACCGCCAACGACATCACCGTACAGGGACGCTCTCTGAACAATCCCCACCTGCGCGTCAGAGGCTCCACAGCCGCCAGTTAGGTTGACAAGGTATAGAGGTGGGCAATTGTACCTTGTACCTCTTGCTAGTCGTTTTTGACGGCCTGTTGATGATTGTACCCCCCCCCCCCCCCCCCCCCTTGTACAGTCCACCACATCCACACCAGGGGACACCACTACGATCTTCAGTTCTCACACACCAACACACACTGCACACCTAACGCACACACTCATTCTGCCAAACTCCCTCAGTCCCCCCTTCCTGTCAGGTCCGGTTTTTTTTTTTCTACCCCAAGTTCTCTTCTTCTGTGAAATTGAGTGGTCCCTTCGTCTCTTCTTCCCCTTCGTAACCTCTTCAACTTTGTTTTAACACAGTACTACTTGTACACAGTAAGATACTCGGCTGCCCTCCGAAACCACAATCTCGACCCTCCAAAAGGAGCTATCCACACCGTCTACAGTACTACACCCGTATGTAGACACTGCAGACTGCCCATACTACATGCTGCTCTTGTGTCTCACGCTTCCTGCTGCTGCGATAACAAGTCGACCTTCCCAGCTTCCCCACTGTTGAGACAGGGTAGTCGCTTCCAGGTTCCTGTCAATTTCACGCCCCTCCACCGGTACATCGTCTTTCCGCGCAGAGTCCACCTTGACGACGAAACACGGGCGCTTTCAATTGTACACGACCGACCAGCTCCTCTCCACGGTCTCCTCCCCTGTGCCTACGTAAGGTCCCTCCTTGTCCGCTCTCGCTCCATAACCTCGCATCGAAACCTACAGCCTTTCCAGTCGACTTGGGCTCCAGGGCTGGCCCGACGCGACTCTGTCTCTGCGACATATATCGAGCCACTTGCGTCGCTTCCCCTTCTCCCACGTACCCTGCTGGGACAATAACGACTGCAAGGAACTTTACCACAACACGCCACTAGGTATAAATACCTACCCCCTTATCCTAACTTTACACCGTCGGTCTCGGCGACAGAAGATGGGAGCCTTATGAAACGATCGAGGGAAGATTTATTTGTGGCGGAACGTAGGACGAGACCGCGAATCTTCGTCGCCAACATAGCCATGTCGCCAAATCAAGGAACCAACACCCACTCTACCACAACCACCACCACCACATACCTCACCATGAAAACACCAGGGGCCCATTCGCGATCGAATTCCCAGTCCTACTTCACCCATAAGCCTACCGGCACGCCGCTAGCCTCGCCGCGCATCTACTCGGTCGGCCAGCCATACCCTCCCCGGCTCTCTCCTGATACGTCCGCCCAACAACAACCCGCCCAACAGCAAGATGCTCGTATCCCGAGTCCTAATTACTTTGGCCTCTCGGTCGATCATGCCGCCGACCCGCTGGAGTCGGCCGTATTGCCCAGCGAAAACTGGAGCTCGCCGTCTTCCTCGGTAAAATCATTCGCCGCAGCAATGCCGAAGCCATTGCCCCTAGATGCGAACCCCGACTTCGAGGCCTTCAGGAGGCAAATAGATGCCAACCTCGGGAGGTCGTCCTTCAGCTTGTCGGGGTCGCACTTCAATATCACCATGGGCCCGCGTACGCCCGGTCCCACAACACCTTTTGGCTTCAAGAGGCCAGAGCCGCCCAAGCGACATAACCTGAGCCTCGGTGCCGAGCCCACGAGCAGCCACTTCCCCAGGCTGTCTGGGTTGGGCTTGCATGGCCCGCTCCCCAACCTCAAGTTGAACAAGGACATTCAAAACCTCAAACAACCAGGTGACAATGATAGTATACATGACTCCGCCTATATCTCCGGGGACTCGAAGCGGAGCTCCCAAGCCTCCCTCAATGCCCCTTCCTTCTTCAACATGGGCAGGCACGAATCACCAGCGCAGATCGATCCCCCTTTTGGAACCCCCGTAGAATGGGGTAAGTCGGCTCATTCCATCTCCCGAGTCGATGACCGCCACCCGCGTTTGTCAATGTCATCTACAAAGGCCGAGCCACCAATACAGCAACGAAGAGCGGATACTGTCCCTCCCAACCCCAAGGCAGCAGCGAACAACGATGGACTGGCTATGATAGACCCGGCACGGCTGAAGGACCTTATGGACCAGGGGGACGATTCAGACCTCTTGTTGCTCGATATCCGCGTCTCTCCCCAGTATGCCGTATCTAGGGTAAAGGGTGCTTTGAACCTGTGCATTCCCACGACACTGTTGAAGCGAGCAACATTCAACTTGCAGAAACTTCAGCAAACGTTCTCGGCAAACCAGGATCAGGACAGGTTCTCCAACTGGCGTAACGCAAAGTACCTGGTCGTCTACGATGCTTCGTCGTCCGACAAGCGCGATGCCATGGGCGCAATCAACATGATCAAGAAGTTCACGAATGAGGGCTTCTCTGGTTCAGCAAATATCCTGCGTGGAGGATTCAGGGCCTTTGCCGAAACATACCCAGACCTGATTGACCGTGGGTCGTCCGCTACCACAACGCCAGCCCTGTCTCTAGGGCAGGGTGCCGGAGCTGGTCTTGGAGGAGCCAACATTCCGCCTGTCATTGGCGGTGTGATGTTGCCCACCACAGGGAAGGGCCCTAACCCCTTCTTTAACAACATCCGACAAAACCAAGACCTGGTCGATGGAGTTGGGCAGATGGACATTGGTCTTCCTCAAGAGCTCAACAAGGAGACTCTACCAAAGTGGCTAAAGGAAGCAGCCGACAGTGGTGACCATGGAAAGAAGGTGTCAGAGAAGTTTCTTCGCATTGAGTTGACGGAACAGTCTCGGATGAAGGACGCTTACTCCGTTTTCACTCCTGGCGCCAACGGGGACCCTAAACACCACGGAAAGGTGCAGCTATCCGGAATTGAAAAGGGTGGAAAGAACAGGTATAAGGACATTCTACCGTTCGAGCACGCGCGGGTAAGGCTTCAGGGCCGCCAAGAGGGCGAATGCGATTATGTCAATGCCAGCCACATTCAAGCAAGCCGTAGCAAAAAGCGATACATCGCTAGCCAGGGCCCGCTACCGGCCACTTTTGAGGTATGTCGCCACCTGACAAGGAACAATCCAGTAGGAGTGCACCAGCGGCTGACTGATGGTCTTTACAGGATTTCTGGTCTGTCATTTGGGATCAGGACGTCCGTGTTATCGTCATGTTGACGGCCGAATCCGAGGGAGGGCAACTTAAGTGCCATCCTTACTGGAAAGGCAAAGACTTTGGTCCCATCAAGCTCCGAGTACTGTCAGAAAAGAAGGTGTCTTTGGATATTGACAAGCACAGACAAGGCTCTCAAGCTGGCGTACCAACCACGTCAGAATCCGCCTCTGCGACAACAACCGCGCCTTCCGGGGATGCTACGCAAGGAGCTTTCCCTTGGAATCCAACCCAAGCTGGGGGGGCGGACGGTGGCCGCCGTCGTGCCAACACCACAACGGTGCAGCCAAACCTCGACGGCACGCAGCAGCCCGCTACGGCTTTGGCAGAGACACCATATGTCATTATTCGCAAGTTTGCCCTGAGCCATTCCGCTTACCCCTTCCTCCCGATGCGCGAGATCACCCAACTCCATTACCCCTCTTGGCCAGACTTTGGAGCGCCGGCTCAACCGAGCCACCTCCTCGCCCTGGTCGAGCTCGCCAACATCATGCAACGAGCGGCACCCGCCCTCGAAAGCTCTGGCGCTGCCCCCTCCGACGAGATACAAGTCGATGTTAAGAACTTTACCAACCGTCTCAAGCGCGGCGACTCGCTACCCCTCGACCCGAGCGACGCACCCGAACCGAACGACCACGCGCGCCCCATGCTGGTGCACTGCTCTGCAGGCTGTGGCCGGACAGGTGCCTTCTGCACGGTTGACAGCGTGATCGACATGCTCAAGCGTCAACGGATGCGCAAAACGCAGAAGGCGGATCGGCGGATCGATGACCGCTTCGGCGGGCGACGGATCTCGGAGACTGACGGAGAGGTCGATGGGGTCATGGACGGAGTCAAACCTTTTAAGCGACAGGCAACCGAGAATAACCGCGACCAGGACGGCGACATTTCCATGGGTGGACAGAAGGGTCTTCGATTTGATCATGGGCCCGGTGGTTCAGGAGGGATGAAGAACCTGGATGAGAGCAAGGGATTCGACTTCGGCGTCCCACCAGCACCGACCGAACCGAAGGACGACCAAGGAATCGACACCACCTGGCTCGACGACGACGGCCTCGACCTCATCGCCAAGACCGTTGAGGACTTCCGCGGTCAGCGACTGAGCATGGTTCAGAGTCTAAGGCAGTTTGTTCTCTGCTACGAGACGGTCATTGAGTGGATCTGGCGGCTGGAGGAGCGCTCTCATCATACCAGCGCTGGTGGTGCTGGTGGGAGGAGAGGAAGTAGCAGAGTTAGGACTGGAAGCTTGGCGCTGTGAGACCATCATGGGCCGGTGTTTGAGAGGATAACGGATTGCACAGAAGCTGGTCAGGTCAGTTGCGCATCGGGCCTATTTCTTTAAAGGGGCTTCGGTTCAGGCGAATGGACAGATCGAAAAGAAAAGAGCATTTTGGCATGGAAAGGGAAATGGAATGGATACGGAACGGGATGGAAGGGATGGGATAGATACATTATTTGGTTCTTGATCCGTTGTTGTCTCCACTTACAACACGACGGTGGACCACACCGCGACAGAAGGAGAGTGAAAGAGAGAAAAGACTGATGGACGGATGAACCGAGGAAGTAAGGGACGAAGAGATGAAGATGGCATGATGATCAAAGTCTTCCTTTACTGCTACTACTACTACTACTACTACTACTATTACTACTACTAGCATATTTTTGGTTTGGCTGGCCGGTTGGTGGGAGAGCGTGTCATCATCTTGTTACGTTGTTGTTGTTCCCTTTTTTATTTTTATTTATTTAAGGGTATGTGTTGTTGTTGTTGTTGTTGTTGTTGTTGTTGTTGTTGTTGTTGTTGTTGTTGTTGTTGTTGTTGTTGTTGTCGTTGTTGTCGTTGTCGTCGTTTGTCTACGTATACCTCAAGTTACCCAGTACCCCCCCTCTGCACTTTTCCTGTCGTTTTCCATTGTTACCATTACCATGAACCATTTGCCATCACCTGAACTTCGCGCAAAGTATTACTGCTGCTGGTGTTTTGAGTACTTGAAAACTTGCATGTGAATAGGCGTCTCGTTTTGGTCTGTGGTTTGTAAGTTAGTTCTTGCATGGCGCGGTTTCGTGACAGTTTGGTTGGGACTTTGTGTTAGTAGCTTGGAGCACAATATTTTTTCGTCTCGGTATTTGTCTTTCGTGCCGGCGCGGCTTTACAGGTTGTAGTTGTCCCTGAAAGACAGAAACTGTAGTTCAAGACACTATGAGGGTTCGCCACTTCCTCACGGATAGCCACGCAGCTTACAAATAACCTTTTGACATTCGAGAGACCTAAGCCATTCCAATGAACATTTTCCTCTCAGTTTCGGCATGATATTCGTCTTCATGTGACAGTTAGTCTGAGATCCGGTAATGACCCAGTGCAGAGTCAAGGCAGCACCAGGGCCCAGGATACGTCTGAGAGTCAACGGTAATGTTTGCATCTCCATTCTGTTGATTTCGCTAGAGGAGGGTAGGTATACTCCGTTATTGCCAAGGACCGCTTTCAATCTTGCAATGTACAAAACGATACACTTTCAGACAGCCTATGCAGACGACAAAGGCAGTCTTGAGAATGATGCACCAAGGAAAGTAAAAAAGCCGAGTCAGTTACTTTTCCCATAAAAGTACTATTGTATTCTGTATCATATCGTTGCACGCATGAACCACCACTCTTCCTTCACTTTTCCCTTCCCCGGGCAAACTTAACGCCACAATTTGGCCAACGACACCTCCTTATCATC